TTTATCTTTTATCTTGGTTCATGAGATTAATCACATCATTCATAAAGATAAAGAGTTAATAGGCATTCCTTACTATCTGATTTCTTAGGTAATAATGCAGAACATAGAATCGTAAGTAATAAGTTAAATCATACCTTTTAAATGCAGAAGGAAGAGAAGTTTGCAAAATGAATCATTCTGCTTTAGTATTACAATCACTATGCTCTGGTTACATCAGGCAATAGATTGAGCCTCCTTTCTGAGCACATGCAAAAATGAAACAAACAAAAAAAAAAGAGGGAGAAAACCTACGTGTCCAAATTAAAACTTAGTAGTGTGAAATAATTGTCATGGATAAGGTTAAAATTTCTACTTGTGTAAACATTTATTAAGCACTCAGTTTATGGAGATCTAATATACATACAGATAAGTCTTCTATAAAAAAGAAAAAACGTTAGAAGACAGAGCACTTATATTACCTTGGGTAATTTTTAAATTTTGTTATTATCTTTAAATTTCAAAATATTTAGGGGGTACAAATGTTTCTGGATATATGGATTCCTCAGGTCACAGTTATGTAAGTGTGCTCATTACAAACCACATGTATTTGCCATAAAACTGGAATTGATGAACACACACAAGCCTAGAGCAGTGGTTCTCAACCTGTGGGTCACGACCCACAGGAGCTGTAGTAAAGGGTTGCAGCATTAGGAAGGTTGAGAACCACTGGCCTAGAGGGAAGTGAAACTCGGCACAAATCAAGCAGGAGAGGAGAGGGTGTAAACCTATCTAACGGATGGGTTCATTGTACCCATTCCAAGTTTATAGCAAGCACACGTGGGGTTGTTTTTACATTCTTTAGATACTTAACTTAGAAAAATGGGGGCTTGGTATCACTGGAAGATTTTTGATTATTTTACAGTGTTTGGATTTAGTTTTTACATATTAGATGCCTTAATTCCATAATAAGCATATTTAAAAGCAAAATAAAATATAGCATGAGAAGAATTACATACTATGAGGCAAGGAGTAAAACAGCAACTCTAAGGAGGCTTACTTAAACAAGAAAAACTCACAGTCATGAACTCTGAATTTAGAGTTTTAAAGACACTTGGGTTTAGGGGATTGCAGGCGGGGTAAGGCATGCACAGAAGCAGAGTGGATACTCACGCGAAAGAAACCATCAGTAGTTGAGACTGATGAAGCACAGGGTAGATGGAGCAGACTACCTACGTTACAGGCCTCATTTCCCCCAAGGACAGTCTGTGTCAGGATAAAGAGGTAAATTCTGTTCTGAAGCAATGAGGAGCAACTCTGAATTATAAGGCGCAGCTTTGCATTGCATATGTATCACAATGGTGGTATTGTGGACAACAGATTAACAAAGGCCAAGACAGGGAGGAGATAGACTTGAGCCAGAAGATTGTGCAGTAACCTAAAGAAGACTCAAATGAGGGGACCACGAGGATAAAGAGGGGCAGGTAAAAAGATTATTGGAGCTCACATTCTCGTGGGGCAGGCAGAGGCAGACAATATACAAGTTGACAGATAAACAAGATAGTCTGGACAGATCTGCTTTAGCGAGAGTAGTCAGGGAGAGCTTCTCTGACGAGGTGGCATTTGAACTGTCATTTAAATTATGAGGTGTTAACCATGTGACAGTTTGCAGAAAAAGCATTTTAGGCAGAAGAAAGTCCTAAGGATAAAAAGGGTGAATACAGTGTATCTAAGTGATAAAGAAGCATATGTGGCTACTGATGAGTGAAAAAGACAGACTGGTTGAAGATGAGCCTGAAAAGGCTGATGGGATGCTAATCATACAGGCTCTCATAGGCTGTGATCTCATAGGAGTTTGTTACTCTAATTGTAATGAGAACCAATTTAAATTTTAAACAAAGTAGTGATATGATTTGATTTACACTTTAAAAATATCAATCTGACATCTGTATAAATAATGGATCATAGCAGGGCAATGGTGGAAGTAAACAGACCAGTCAGGGGTGGTACAGTATTCCAGACAAGAAGTGATTAGGGTCTGGTGGTAGTAGCACTGGAGGTAGTGAGAAATGATTGGATTTAGAATACATTCGGGAAAAAGAGCAGATAAGATGGTGTTACTAGATTAGATATAGGAGATGAAGGAAAGAGTAGTCTAAAGAATTTGAATTTTAGCCTGTAGGCAATGCAGAATTCATTTAAAGTTTTGAGAAAGTTTTGACACAATTACAGTACAATATATTAAAACAATTATCTTCAGGCAGGAAGCAAAATGAATTCTTTGGGAAATAAAATAACAGGTAGAAGCAAATTTGGGGGTGTCAGTAATACTCTAGGCCTGAAGTGACAGGTCCCTGAATTAAGATGATGACAAGGGGAACGTGACAAAGAAATGGATATAAAAGCCACCATCAAGTTTGTAGAGCTTTAATTTGCAATGTCTTTGGGCATTGGACCTTAGCAGAGAAAACTGGGCTACAAAGATTTGGGAGTCATTGGAATATACCCAATAATTAAAGCAAACAGAAGCATTTCATAAAGGAGTGTTTGTTTGTTCATAAACTGGCAAATAAGGACTAACAAGTATTCACTGCATTTGGTAAAATGGATATTGTGGGTGACTGGTCAGAGCCGTACCCATTTAGAGATGGAATGAGAAGCTACAGTCCAGCACGAGACATCTCAGACATGAAGTACTGACAATGAATTCATATAACACTTCTAAATTTTTTGGTTTTGCAGCAAAGAAGAAAGAGAGAATAATCTAAATAAAGAACTAGGCTGGAGGGAAAGAATTTTAAGGGAAGGAGAGGCTGCAGTATGTTTCAATGCTGACGTGAAGGAGACAACAGAGAGAGGGTGACAACAGCAGAGGGAGGGACTTGATTGCAAGGCCTCTGAGAAGGCAATGAGAATGGGATCTGAGCACAGATGGGGCTTAGCCACATGGAGGAGGAAGGACACTCCTCCCAGTTACAGGGACCAGCCATGGATGTAGGTGCAGGTAAATTAATGAGGGCAGTGTTGAAGAAGCAGGCAGAGGATTCCCAGTATTATGGTTTCTATTTTCTCTGAGAAAAAGATGTCATCCACTCAAAACAGGGCATTTAAAATTTGAGGAAAGTGGAGGAAGAATGAAATTGTCATTATGGAGAATGGGTAGAAAATACTTCTTGGGAAAAACAAGACTGTCTAGCTATGTAGAGGGACTTGCTAAAGTCAAATAAAATGATTTCTGCAATTTTGTGTTTAAACATCCTATGATAATATCAAGTTAACTCATAACCAACGTCCTAATGCTCCCTTAAACAACCTTACTTGCTTTTTCTTTCTGATTTTTTTTGGCCGGGGCTGGGTTTGAACCCGCTACCTCTGGTATACAGGGTCAGCACCCTACTCCTTTGAGCCACAGGCGCCGCCCCTTACTTGCTTTTACTACAAAGAATATCTACCTGCTTGAAATCTACGCTCCGTGTTTAAAATTTTCTTTTAGCAATGAAAGCTCATTTGCCAAAGCCACAGGCTCTCATTTCTGAAGTTTTCTTTCTCTTACTATCCATAAATTTAACTTTATTATTTGTTTACATTGTTTTGGTAGAAGCTAAATTTAGTCTGATGGCAGTGAACAGTTGTGAACATAGATATAATGGTGACCACAGAATAAATCGCCATGAGAAGAGTCCTTTCAGATAAACATGAAAAGCAACCACCTCCCAGACTGACTTAAAAAAATGACACCAAATTATCTAGAAATAAAATATAAGTTGTCACAATTTTATAATCATTTCATTTGTCTTTTAATTTTTACTATCTATTACGTACTTAATAATGCTTAATAAAAGAATTAACATTCCAGAGATTTCTAGATGTTTGGAACATACTGATAAACCATAAAACAATCAATTATGAAATAATTCCCAAAGAAAATGTGAATCCCATAAAGTTATTGAGGAATATAACTGCTAATAGTTCATATCATAGTAATTTTATTAACAATATCCAGAGACAATACTGATGAATTAAGAGCTTGGGACAGGAAAACGATGACGTTAGAGTTTATTTGTTTCCATAGTAGTAGAGTGATTTTTTGTTTCCATCATGATTGTGGAATAAAATAAAAACTCCATATAGTGTAATAAATAAGATTGTTCTAGTCAATGGTGAATAGCCATACTAAACATAACACTTTCTCTAAAATGCTGATCAAATATGTATAATTCTGTTAATAGAGTAAATGAAAATAATGAATCTTTAATGTTTAGAACATATTTAGGATTTGACAATAAGGGATAGACAAGGTAACTTGAAATCCTGGGATAATTTCTTTACTAATCCACAAGTTAATTTTTTAATTGGGAAGAAAGAAGTTAGACTAGATAACCTCTAAAGGAAGGTTCTACTCCTGTTTCTTATAGCAAAGCATCTGATTATAGAGACTATCAGATACTTTATGAGGATGGTACTTCTTATATAGCATACAATTCCACTTTAATATGTGATATTTCTGATGGAGCAATTTCTTTTTAGATAAAGTTCTCTTGTATTTGAGTTAAGCTGGTAATAATTTTCATAATTTTAAACATATTTTCATATCCATTAGTAGTTCAACTTTTTCATGAAAATATAATTGTATCTGATTATTTCTAAAATAAAAACAATTTTATAACCATTATATTATTATTATTATTATTATTATTTTTTTTTTTTTTTTGAGACAGAGCCTCAAGCTGTCCCCCTAGGTAGAGTGCCGTGGCATTACAGCTCACAGCAACCTCCAACTCCTGGGCT